GATCGACTTTTCAGTGTCGTTTGTGACGCATCTGACTTTTCCATCGGCAGTGCTCTGTTACAAACAGATATTGATAGACGGGAACGTGTCATTGAGTTTATGTCCCGACATCTAAAAGCTGCTTAGAAGAACTATCCTGTTCATGACAAAGAGCTACTTGCAATGAAGTATACTCTAGTCAAGTTCAGAAATCATCTGCTTGGATCAAAGCCGTTTGTGATCGATACGGATCATGCGTCACTACGCACTGCGACCCCGTCACCTCACCTCTCTCGGAGAATAGCTCGTTGTCTTTCCTTCTTTGCCGAATACAACGTTGAGGAGAAGTATAAGCCGGGGCAAGCAGAATGCTTTGGCTAATGCGTTGTCACGCAGGCCTGACTATGAGCTTGCTCATGTTACGACTCTGTCGTCGTCTTTCACTGACCTAATCCGTACGGCTCATGCCAAGGATGAATACTGTGTAGCTCTGCTACGTGCTATTGTGAGCGAGGAGTTTAAGGACTCAGACATAGAATTGTCGGCACGATTACGTGCAAGGCTGCACCGATATTCGATAGATCAGGTCCTGTTGTGCTATAGCACGGATGTGGAGGATACCCTTCGCATCGTTGTTCCTCATGATGAGGAATTGAAGTATCGGATCCTGAATGAGGCACAGGATACTACGTTGAGTGTTCACCTCGGTCGTGAGAAGACCTATGGACCAGTTAGTCAATGATGTTGGTGGTTCAAACTATATGTGGGAGCACATATGTGCGTACGTGTAAACGTGTCAACGGGTGAAACCCTCATCTCACGCGGCCGCACCGCTGGCTAGTTTGCTTATACCCAAGGTGTGTTGGGAGTTCATCGGTATGGATTTCCTGGTCGGTTTACCGAAGGATTCGTATGGCGATATGGGTATTGTACTCTTTGTTGATCGTTTGAGCAAGATGGATCACTTAGCGGCGGTGACGGATACCATTGATGGTGAAGTTACAGCTACGCTATTTATTGGTCGCGTGGTTTGACAACACGGCTTGCATGTGGCAATTATCTCTAATTGAGATCATCGCTTCACTGGGAAGTTGTAGAAGTCCGTCTTCAAGGTGCTCGGCACACGTTTGGACATGTCCACAGCGGATCATCCGCAGACTGATGGTCAAACCGAGCGAGTGAATCGCATCATCGGTGACATCTTGCACAGTGTTTGCGCTGTAACGCCAAAACGTTGGAGCCCGATGCTCCCTGTCGTTGAGTTTGCGTTGAATAACGACGTGCATGCATCCTTAGGCTATACACCGTTCTTTGTGAATGGTCTCACACACCCTCGCGTTCCGTTAACGCTACCACTGCGTGGTTCAGGGATCGGTGAGGAAGGAGTTGCCACAGGCTTGCTGATATCAGCCCTGTTTATGTTCAAAAACAGGTATGAGAGTTTCTCGCAACGCGATTGAATGTCTTTCGACATGTGCGTGACGCACTGGCTGATAGTCAATATAATCAGAAGGAACAAGCTGATGCTAAAGGCAGAGGTTGTATTGAACGTTACGAGGTCGGAGACCAAATTCTACTCAATGCTACAAACTTACCTACAAATGTATTGTCCTCTTTCTTCAAGACAAAGATGCGTTCGCGCTTCATTGGACCATTCACGGTCGTCTCCAAGAAGGGACTTGCGTATACGCTCAACCTTCCGCGCAAACCGCGCACGCACCCTGTGTTCTACGTTGGCTTGCTGAAGCCGTATCGAGATCCGTCCCACGTGAACTTAGAGGCGCTTGTGCCGCGTAAGTTGGCCTTGCCATCGGTGGCTGAATTCATATCAGGATGTCAAGATGAGCCTTTATCCAAGCTTGGCCTAACTCCAACGCCTGAACACGGGCTCGCATCGCGTTGAGCGCACTACAGGTCTTACCCAATGTCTCAAGGAGACCATTCAGCTCGAGAATCACCTTCTCATGCTCCAAATTTGGTATACCGACCACCTCCGACGCTGCTCGATGAGCAAGAGAACCGCCAGTTCCATGTGGAGCGACTCCTGAAACGACGTCGTCGGCAAGGTCAATGCCAGTATCTAGTGAAGTTACGAGGGTACCCGGAGTCGGAAAACTCATGGAAGTTTGAGATACCCCTTCGACAGGATTGCCCATTCGCCTCGGATTTTTTTTAACATCGTGGCAAGGGTCCTCCCTCGACCGAGAGCGCTTCTGACAAATAGTGGTGGAGGAAGGTGGGTTGTTGGGTACCGCTTGGCCAACACCCACATCGACCGGCACAGCTGGAGCATAGCGTGTGCGAGTTTGAAACTGGCCTCTGGCCTTAAGCTTGGCGTAATTATACCGAATCTTTCGTTATAGACGAACGTCTGCCACATCGGCCCTTGCTCTGAGATCTAACAAGATTCTGAGGTGTCGTTTCCGATGCATTCATCGAACAAACGCGTTGTCTTTTTCTTCCTGAGATTCGCCTGCGAATAGGAGGATGCGTATACCCTTCATCGGTGGAACCGGTGCACCCCGTGCTTGCGTGTCAAGTCGCAACTTGTGTTGACTCTGAGTCGTCAAGTAAGCTTCCAGGTACCTCTCGATAAGTACCTGTCGACTCGCCACCTCATCGGAAGATTTTGGCTCAGCGCCAATGACCCACGTTTCCAAAGAACGACCTGACGTTTGGCGTATACGCTCTTCCACACTGAGTGGGGTGAACAGATAAACACGGCGACCCTCAAGGGTTGCAGCAAGCTGCATACGGCGCTGAGCGCTCTCCTTTCGTTGGATAGCCAACTGTTGTTGCTCATCAAGCGGATTGGTGATGATTGCATCGCTCACGATGGGTGTCTGATGCGGCGACGGTGGTGCGTTGTCTCCGCCACGCTCGGCAAATGGATTCGGTGCAGTATGAGGCGGTGCCCCTTGCACTGGTGAGTCGGACATTGTCCTCTCTTCACCATGGATATCGGTGTCGCTACCATAGCCCACCTCAACAATAACGCCTAGGTGAGAAGAAAGAGTCGAGGACTCGTCGGGTGGCGATGCCATGGTATTTCGTGTTTGAGAAATGTGAGGCTGAAGCGCACACACACCGTCCTCTTTGAGGAAAGAATTCGATTGACGTTTTGTGGCAACTTCAGTCTGGTGGGGGAGGTATAACGGGGTTACACGTCGACTGGTAGTCGACAATAGGTGTGGTGCACACAAGGGATGGGATCCCCTTTAAAGTAATATGAACACAGTATCAATTGTTGAATATTCATGTCTGTCAACCATTGATTACGAGATCTTTTGAGAGGTTTTATTTAGGACATTAGCGAGTAGGTCAATTACGTTGCTCTAAGGTGTTCTTTTAGGTTAGAAGAAGAAATAAAGTTCAGTTCCCATTTTGATCCAAAAGACACGTGCCTCTCTGAGGCATCTTGCGATCGTCCAAGGAGTTTGGCAACGCCTTGTTAAGGCAACCACTCCTAGTGCACTCTGTGCTGTGATTCTCTGAATCGTTCGGCCCCCTGGTCCAGGTACCGTAAGCTCTCTGAGCTTGTTGACTCTTTGAGTCGGGTTCTCTGAACTAAACCTTGAGCTCTCTGAGCTATTTGACTCTCTAAGTCAGGTTCATTGAACCTGAAGTTGCTCGTTGAGCGTTAAAGTCTTCCTCTGACTTAAGGAGCTGTATAGCTCTTCTACATGGTAACACCCGCTCGTCGGATACAGCTACATCTGCTACTGTTTTGTTTCCAATGATATGTTGACTGTAGCCACCACCCTAGCTCCACGTATTTATGTCAAAGGCAGCAAAAACACACGTAGAAGTGTAGAGTCACTTTCTCTTCTCGCTGAGAAGTACAACCTGTATATCGTTGCGGGAAATGATACGTTTTACAAGATGGAGGACCAGGAGACAGTGCCGATAATAGCAGCAACGGCGAAAGAGGCCACCATCAACATGGGCAAATAGTGTTATTTCGTACAGCCTATTATTGCTGTTTCACTTGGCAGGCATCATGACTGCAACAACCCTTGCTTCTCCTTTTTTTCGAAGAGAACTTGCCAAACAAACGGATCGTTCTTGTCGACCAATGTGTATATTGCACGTTGGAAACGGAAAATCGGAAACGTTATGCTTGAAGAACGTTTGCTCTGCAGTAGCGACAAGCACCTGTTCAAGCTGTAGGAATCGTGTTGGTACATGATCTACATGAGTCGATATGCTTCTGATACGCGACATGCTTACTCGTGCAGTTCACAACTTTGATGAGACCTACTCGTGAGTTGCATTGCAGCAAAATGGAAAGAAGCTTCCAGGGCATGCAATCGATATGTTGGTGTAAATACAATCGTGTCATGTCATCTTATGAGGCTCATACTATCCAGTGTCTGCTATGAGCCATTCGTATCATTCTCTTACCCTTGTGCGCATTCCGTAATCACTTTCTACATTGGACGAACTGCTGATCGACGTATACACTGACAGCGGTCGGCAAGGATATCCGAGTCGTGTACATCCGTGCTGTCGCGAGGGGCACAAGTCGACCCACGTTTCGCTTTTTACCACGAAAAGTGCAGGTTAGAGAACGCCCGTGCGGTTTTGGACGTAACTGGGTGTATCGAGAACTACCAAATCAAGCGACGTGTAAGAGCTGCTACGCAACAACTGAAAAAGAGAGCATACAGCTGATTTCCACTACTGTACCAACAAACGCCATAACTTGCTTTGTACCCCTGCAAACCTAAAAAAGGCCAATCGAAAAATTACATCTCACTGACACTCGGTTTACTTTTTTCCGGGTATCACGATCGTCCATCCGTGGTCGTACACTCGTCGTCGTCCGTCGGACATATTGCTTCTGGCTGTTCGTCACCGACATCACCGAATAAATTACTTGCACTTACGTACCACATGCGCTCTCCGCTCTACCGGTATCACCTCCACTCGCTCCAATATACCTCTCGTCCGCATACCGCGATGTCTCATGTGTGTGTGTGGTCCACATCCATCACATCTTCCGCCACACGCGCAATCAAATGGTCGACACGACGCGCCCCGCGGCCTCGTCGGCGGCTCCCCACGCGTCACCCAGTCCGTCCCGCGCCTCGCTGTCACGCGCATCTCCTGCTGCATCGTCTGCTGCGTCGACCGCACCTCGTCTCGTCTCTGGACGTGCCCCACCGCGCCCAGGAGCGCCATCTGCGCGACACGCACCCGTCGACTCGACCGGTCCGTCCGTTAGAGCGCCTGTTGTCGCCGTGCCGCGCTGCAGCACGTGGTTCGCCATGGACAAGATCAATCCCATTGAACAGCGCATGCTGCCCGAGTTCTTCAGCGCCTCTCAGGGCTCGAAGACCGCCGAGTTGTACCTCAAGTACCGCAATTACATGGTCCACGCGTCGCGCCAGCAGCCCGACGTGTACCTGACGGCCACGGCCTGTCGCCGGCACTTGGCAGGAGACGCCTGTGCGATCCTCCGCGTGCACGAGTTCCTCACGCACTGGGGACTGATCAATTTCCACGTGCCGCCGCACGCGATGCCGCCAGCCATTCACTCGAACTACGCGCTCCACGCGGTCAGTAATAGTAGTTCTGCTGCTGGTGGTAGTGGTGTTGGTAGTGGTAGTGGGTCGTTTCGGGACGGGCCGAGTCCAGTGGCAATGCTCGTAGCGAGTCAAAAGGAGAGTGGACGTCGAGTGAACGTTCCGTTGGCGTGTGAAGCGTGTGGCGTGGCGAGACAAGTGGACGATTTGTTTTTTGAGCTCACAAGCGAAGCAAAGAAAAAGTTGACGACAAGTGGGGCAGTGGGGCACGCGTCGAGTGCACTACATGGGATGAATGGGACTGGCGGCAAAGCAGGCGAAGGCCAAGAAGTGACGGTACGAGGGTTTGCACTGCGACCGGGCAGTGGCATTTGTGAAGCGTGCTACATTCGTGGAGCTTTTCCAGAAGGCTACGATGTCTCGGATTTCGTGCTGATGCCTACCGTAGCGAGAAATCTGTCCGCAGCAGCTTCGTGGACGCAGGAAGAAAACGATCGACTACTGACGGCTGTGAATAGCAGCACGAAGGCCAATAGGACCAAGAGCGTGCATAAACAGGATGAGGGCGAGGATAGCTGTGATTGGAATTACGTGGCGTCCAAGGTCGGCTCGAAGACAGCAGACGAGTGTTTGTTGCACTTTTTAGAAATGCCCATGCTCAACATGTCGGCGTCGATGGGTGATCGAGAGGCAAGTGTTGGTGACCTAGTGGACTCGATGCGACCGTTTTCTGCTGGAGCAGCTCTGAATGCACCTGTGCTTGATCTGGTTTCTCTCGTCGAACAGGTTGACCCGTTCGTTGCAAAAGCTGCAGCTCACGCTGCGATAGGTGCCATCAAGCGGTTGCACACGATGCCAGCAAAAGTAGCAACGTCGCCACTAGAGGCATCGTCGGCTACGATGAAGGACCAAGCAAAGGGCGATGCAGCTGAAGTCAAGGTAGAGAGCGCTTCGCGAATGTCAGGGTCCGCTACGACCAGTGACGGATGCATTTCTTCGCTTGAGGATGCAGCAGCGGCAGTTGCCAGCAGCGCAGAGGTTGCAGGAATCGGATCGAGCGTCAAAGTAGAGGACACACTATTTGTGGACGGCAATGTGACTATGGAGGATGCCTCGTCGTCAAACACGATTGTCGGGTCCACCTCGAAGACGGAAGATCCCAGCAAGGGCCATGCAGCGCCAGTTTCGAAGGAGATGATTGCGGTCATCGAAGAAGCGGCGAATGCCACGACAGTTGCACTCTTGGCAACGCGGTCGCAAAAGATTGCCGATGACATGGCCAATGGACCTGTGGAGGATCTGGTACAGCAACTTGTGGAGAATCAGTTGCGTCAAATGGAGTTGAAGATGCAGCAGCTAGCTGTATTGGAGCAAACAGTGTATGCCGAGAAGGAGCAGCTCGCCAAAGAGAAGTACGAGTTGTACGTAGATCGGCTCGCCTTCTCTCGCGAAAAGATGAATGGCCGCTTGGCACAGCTTGGGCCCTAGTCTTCACTTGGACTTTGTTATGAGTTTTGAAAAAGGTGGCTTGGCTTGGCAACCTAATGATGGTGAATGACAGGAAGAAGTGTGCGACAGCAGCATGTCGATTTGCTATTGATGTCACCTTCGTGGGAAGAATCACAGTCGCGATTGGAGTGTGTGGTGGCCATGCGCTCTCGGGCCAAAGGTTGGTGAAGCTAGACCATCAGCGACGTGGTAAGCCTGAAGGATAAAAGCTGCGGAGTTGTGTAGTGCCACTTGTGGGTTGACAAGTTTACGAGAAACCGATGAAACGATCACAAGAGGACCGTCAACTGCGTTGTGCGAGCACAGGGCAACGAAATAAACGTAGGTAGAATGTTGACCGTGTCACGCCGCACCATTTGTTCCGATCGCAACAGTAAGTTGTGCTTTGCGTAGCTACGTCGCCGTCGAGACTTGAAACGACGTCGACGAGGTGAACGCAATGTGGTCCGTGTCAAAGCGTATGCATAGGGGAAAAGTCGTGCATGCGCTTTCGGTGATCGGCGCTTGCAATGGTGGCACCACCACCTGCTCGCGTAGTTAAAGCTGTGCATCTCAGCATCAAAAGCTATCAAATAGATTTGTAGATACTGACAAACGTGTTACGTGACAGCCTGCATCAAGTCGCTGTGACGTCAAGATTAGTCCAACATGCTACGCAGGACGACGCAATCAGATTGAACTGACGCGAATCTATGAGGTGCATGACGTACTACCTGACGCTTATGCTCTGGCAACTCGTCCCAATGCAGCACACACCTGAATACAACAGCTGCCTGGGATCGTGTACTCATGCATTGCTTGTCTGCAGCACCCGTCAACAAAAACAATTTGTAGCTACCAGGCAGAAGAACTGTCAACACACACTGTAAAGCGACTGCGACTGCGATCGGAACGAGTTCCAGTCGGCAGTTGCCCACGTAGCACATCCGTCGAGACAGCCAAGTTGCACTTCGCTTGCGCACATTCGGGGCCCCTTCCTACACTCGAGTAGCAAGTGCTGCCTGTAATGATGTAGAGCTTGCTCTCCTGACCATTAATCGTCTTCTGACAGTTGGCTGTTGTGGCCACACTGTTCATCCAGACGGCTGACTTCAAGCGCAAGCTCCAGTTGCATCCAATCGTGCAAAACGTGTTATTCTCTGCGTACAGAAGTACCGATATCTCACGAAAGCTCGTGCAACTTCAACAAATCGTCGTCTAATCACGTGCTTAATCCAGTACACGGACAACCCAACCACAGCGACTGTCGGCGCTTTCCTCGTGTGCCTCGCTCGTTTTGTACTGATATAGCAGCTCAAACCGCCAACAACACCATCTCACCTTGTCAACAAGATGTACCGCAACTGCATGCAGCGGCCACCGCTTACCACTTGTACGCATCGATCCCTCACGCCGCAGCCCATTATCTCTTCCACTTCCATCCGTTCAGTCACCATCAGCCAGTGCGAGTTACCCCACCCCACCCACCGTCTTCCTCTTCCTCCTCCTCATCAGTAGCTCCATTCGATCCATCCTGTGCACACACATGTCGACCAAATCCGTACTCGTGCTCGATGGCGAGTCCCTTTGCGCCGAAGACCTCCTGACGCTGTCGAAAGGTGCGACTTCCATTGCCCTCAGTGACGACGCCTGGACACGCGTGTCAAGCAGTCGCGACGTGGTCGATGCGATCCTCGAAGACCCCACCCGCGTCGCGTACGGCATCAACACGGGCTTTGGGCTCTTTTCCACGGTCGTGATCGAGCCCGACCAGCTCAAAGTACTGCAGGCGAACCTCATTCTGGTCGCACGCGTCGGGCACAGGGGACCCGTTAACCCCTGCGCAGACGCGCATGCTCCTTGCGCTCCGCATCAATGTACTGGCCAAAGGCCATTCCGGCATCCGCGTCCCCACGCTGCACCAGCTCGTCGACGCGTTCAACGCGTCGTGTTTGTCGCTTGTCCCGAGCAAAGGCACTGTGGGGGCGTCGGGGGACTTGGCCCCGCTCGCGCACTTGGCGCTCGGGTTGCTGGGCGAAGGGCTCATGTGGGACACTACCGACAACAACGACGTTGTAATCCGCGACGCAGCTGAAGTCCTTGCGAAACACGGGTTGCACCCGTTGCAGCTCGAGGCGAAAGAAGGACTCGCGTTGATCAATGGCACGCAACTGATCACGTCGATTGGGGTCGAAGCGCTCGTGCGCGCACAGAACGTCACAAACTGTGCCGACGTGGTCGTTGCACTATCGCTCGAAGTGCTCTGCGGTACGGTGAACGCCTTCCACCCGCGTATCCACGCAGCTCGTCCCCATATTGGCCAAGCGCGCGTGGCAGCACGTGTTCGCACACTGCTGAGTCCCGATGACCCGTCCGAGTTGTTTCGCAGCCACAACTACGTTGGCAAAGTCCAAGACGCCTACTCGCTGCGCTGTGCACCGCAGGTACACGGCATTGTGCACGACACGATCGCCTTTGTGCGGCAAGTGCTGACCGTCGAAATGAACAGCGCGACGGACAACCCCATGGTCTTTACGGGACCGGCAGCCGACGTGGCAACGGGATATCGGATACCCACCAGCAGCAGTAGCTCCGGTGGCATTGAAGGAGGTGTCAGTGGACAAGTGCGACGCTGAGTTGCGTTTGAGTGAACCGAAGATCACGGACCTCGAAGACGCCAACCGGGAGATTCAGCGGCTTCGAGCGCTACTGAACGACAACAGCGTGCAGCAGTACGAGACAATGGAGCGCTTCACTGCGGACATGAAGCGCACGTCCGACACGTTCTACCGTGGCGGCGATGGGTTTGTCATCTCAGGAGGTAACTTCCATGGCGAGTACCCGGCCAAGGCGCTGGACTACTTGGCCATTGGCGTCCACGAGATCGCCAGCATCAGTGAACGTCGCATTGAGCGACTGGTGAACCCGGCATTGAGTCACTTGCCGGCGTTCCTCGTGCCGGACGGAGGGCTCAATTCCGGGTTCATGATTGCCCACTGCACGGCCGCTGCGCTCGTGTCGGAGAACAAAGTGCTCACTCATCCGTCGTCCGTGGACTCGATCTCGACGAGTGGAGCGAAAGAAGACCACGTGTCCATGGGCGGCTTCGCAGCTCGGAAAGCCCTTACGGTCGTCGAGCACGTCGAGACAGTCGTTGCCATTGAGCTACTGGCGGCCTGCCAAGCGCTCGATCTCCTTCGGCCACTACGGACGACAGCAGTACTTGAAGCTGTCCATGCAGTCGTGCGCACGCGTGTACCGAAACTTGACAAGGACCGCGTCATGAAACCAGATATTGACGCGGTCGTGGACCTCGTGCGCAGTGGAGCGATCTGGCAAGTGGCTACCCCCTTTTTGGGTGAGTGAGTGAAGGCGCTGCTTTGAGGTTTTGTGAGGGAGCTGCACGAGGCCGACGGACGGAGTGAGCGATGGACCGACTGAGTGATTGATGGACTGCCATCCGAAGGTATGCGTGACGAAGGAGCAGTTGCAGTCGATAGAATAAGACGGTGAGTTGGTAGTCGATCCAGAGGCTCGACACGTGTGCAGGTACAGTGAAGTACGTCTTTCATTGATTCGACACGCGGTTTGCACTCAATGTCGACGTCGTCGCGATGGTACTAAGAGGAGTTAGGAATTATGCAGCGCGAATAGACATGAGATATGGATCAGTATGTGCGTTGATCCTTTTGCTCGGATGCTGGTTGTGGGTTGCAGGATCCTGAGAATGCATCGGAGTATGGCTTTGTTTACCACGTTTACCAATGATTTATATCCTCCATCGGGTACTTCATGATGATTATGCTGGAAGCTGAATAGAGGAGGAGGATATCCCAAGACTTGGATCAGTATGGCGCAAATAGAGTGAACTATGGTCCAGATAGAGCAAAGCTACGGCTTGCGTTTCCACGTCCATGATCGTTTCTGTGCCAAAACGTGCCCAGTGGTGTCTGATTTGCAACGATAGCTGGGGCAGTAGTATATGTTTCAGTAGCATCTACAGCGCGATGTCAAAAAGCGCACACTCAATGCGCCCTAAGTACGTATTCAAGTACCTATTCAGCTACTACATCTCTCTGTCTGTCCATCCAATGACGTCCCTATAACTCTATCACGCCCTAACATAGTGCTTTGAGAGCTCGTCATGATATCTCATCATCGTCGTCGAGTGCTTCCACGTGCGTCTCTCAGTCGCTATATCTCGACACATGAACAAGTTCTGGATACGGGTCTATCGACAATTACTCGAAGTGAACGCAACAGAAGCGTTTCACGTGTCCGAAGCTCAGTCTAC